ATAATTCGTGGCTCGGTCGGATCGAGGTTCAAGGCCCGTCCATCGATAATTCGTGGCTCGGTCGGATCGAGGTTCAAGGCCCGTCTATCGAAAATTCGTGGCTCGGTCGGATCGAGGTTCAAGGCCCGTCCATCGATAATTCGTGGCTCGGTCGGATCGAGATTCAAGGCCCGTCTATTAACAATTCGTGGCTCGATCAAATCGAGGTTCAAGGCTCGTCAATTGACTGTTTGTGGTTCGGTCGGATCGAGGTTCAAGGACCATCGATCGATTGTTTATGACTTGGTGGAATCAATGTTCAAGGACCATCGATCGACTGTTTATGGCTTGGTCGAATCGAGGTTCAAGGCCCATTAGGATCTCATCGACTAAGTGTTGGTCATTTTGTCCTCTTGCTCGGAGCTGGTGCTGATGTGGGGTCAGTTTGATTTGACTCTTAGTGACGTGGCTTAATCTACATCCATAAGGATGATGGGGGTAATTTCGTCCTTATAGGTTTTAAAATAAAAGGCATTAAAAAATAAGGGTTAAAATGTCATTCCACACCCATTTTAATGGTGTTAGTAACGAAAAAGTGACTTGGGATATAAGTGATAGTATTTTTCGAAAGATGTTTTAAGGTGATATTTGGTCAAACTTGAGAGGGTGTTAGTGAAATTAACCCTTTTTAGGATTTTTTATATAAAAAAAATTGGTCAAAATTGATGATTAGTGAATAATTTGCTCAAAATATTGATAATACATAAATTTATATGCACTTAATTCTTAATGCGGTGTTTCTTTCACATTTTGGTATTCTAGCCTTTACTTTTTTTGCACTTTATTCCCTTCCATTAATTTTACTTAATAACTTGGTGTTAAAAGTCGTCGTCATCGTCGTCGTCGTCTTCTTCTTCTTCTTCTGTTTTTTTTTAGGCGCCAAAGGTCATTCCTGGTCTTTATTATTATTAAATAATAAAACCTTATCCCAATTTTATCGTCATTTTAGAGATATCGTGATCTTAATATATGCCTATATAAATAATTATTATAGTATTAGTTATTCAACAATGATATATCAATTTTCTCATATTAAATTTTATAGATAGTTGTTCATAGGTTACATGTATAGCTTCCCCTTGGTGATTTAGGTGGGTGTATTATTTTGGCCAAAAAAATAAAAATAAAAATTGCATTTGTGATTTGGAATTCAAAATCTAGCTAATTAATCAAGGAAGTATAGTCTCATAAGCTCTATTAATTTGAATTGTGTTAGTTGACTCAATCTTTAAATGATATTTTAAATAAAGAAAAATAATTATTTTTATATATATAGAAATGTTAAAACGCTTCAAGCCTCGAGCTAAAAACCTGTAGATGTAACGAAGGAATTTTCTTCAACAGTTAACCAAACATAATTGTTCACTTATTTGTTTAACTCTCAACCAAATCTTAAAAAATCAATTAATCCAAACAGTGAGAATTAATAGAAATCTACCAAACAAACGGTACCTGTAACCCCACTTCCCTCCAACACGGCAACACCCATGTGCCGCTGATTCATTGGAATTTTTTTTTTTTTTTTTTTTTTTGTCTTTTTTATAACATTTGTAATTACATGGCGTAACACGAACGGCAAAAAAATTTCACTTTGGTTTAAAAAATAATTGTGTGGTGATAAACCATTTCAGCATTTAGACTAAATAACTCAATTAACTTTGCAATTCAATAGTGCTAATTAATAATAATAAACTATATAATTTAATAGATTTCATTACACATTTTAAATGTGAGTAGAAAAATTCAATGACCCTGGCATATTACAAACGGCATTAATTGACCGGTGTTAAATTATGATTATTTACTTTTACATGAGTTTATTGTGCAAGGACGAAAAATAGGGGTGGGCTCAAACCCACAAGAAAAAAAAAAATTCTATTAATATAGGTAATTTTTATCATTTCATCTATATGTACTTGAATAATGAAAAAAATAAATAATTATAATAAGAGTCAATGCTGAATCGGCTCAATTTTATGAAATCGAATTAAATCTAGTAGAATTGTAATTTAAAAACTATTTTTTTTTCTTCTAGTTTTACAAAAAAAAATTATGGTGTGATAATAAAATTAAGGATAAATTGTTTGAGAACAAACCTGTTTCATTTTAGCATTACTCTCTCTCATGTCCAATTTGTCCTTTTTTATTTTTTCTTTTCTCCTTTCATTACTGTTGATCACGACTTCTTTCACTTTCTAATTCGAAACTCTTATGCTACGTTTGGTGTGCAGAAATGGAATGGAATGTAAGTGGAAATGGAATGAGAATGAGAATTCTCATTCTATTGTTTGGTTGTAAATATGAAATGTGTAGCAATGAAATGAAAATAACCATTCTAGTGTTTGGTTGGACCAATTTAAAATTTAGAATGGAATAAATTTCTAATTGAATTCTCCAAAATATCCCTCTTAGTAAGAAATAAATTAAATAAAATTAATAAAATGATATTCTCTAATAATTTTTTAAAAATAAAATGGTGGCAATAGCGGCGGTGGATGGTGGAAAGTGGTAGTAGTGTAGGTGGTGGTGTTGGAAGGCAGCGGTGGTGGCAATGGTGAAAATTGGTGGTAGTAGTGGTGGTAGAAGGTGGCAGTGGTGTTGGTGGTAGATGGTGGCAATAGTGTGGTGGTTGTGGTGGAAGGAAATAGTGGTGTGACTATAGTGGTGGTGGAAGGCGGTGGCGGTGGTGATGGATGGTGGTGGCGGTGGTGGAAAGTGGTGGTGGCGATGGTGGAAGGTGGTGTGTGATGGCGAAAGGTGGTGGTGACGGCGGTGACGGAAGGTGGTGGTGGTGGTGGCAATGGTAGACGGTGATAGTGGCGGTGGTGGAAGGTGGTGGTGGTGGTGGAAGGTGGTAGAAGGCGGTGGTGGAAGGTGGTGATGGAAGGTGGTGGTGGTGGTGGAAGGTGGCGGTGGCGGTGGCGGTGGTGGTGGTGGTGCTGGAAGGTAGTGGGCGATGGCGAAAAGTAGTGGCGGAAGGTGGTGGTGGTGGTAGCGATGGTGAAATGTGGTGGTGGCGGTGGTGGAAGGCGGTGGTAGAAGGTGGTGGCAGTAATTGGTGGTGGAAGATAGTGGTGGTGGTGGTGGTGGAAGGTGGTAGCCGGCGATGGTGATGGTGGAAGGCGATGGAGGAGGCGTTGGTGGTTGTTGAAGGCGGTGGCGGTGGCGGTGGCGGTGAAAGGTGGAGGTGGCTGTGGTGGAAGGCGGCGGCGGTGGTGTAGGGCGGTGGTGGTAATGGAAGGTGGTGGTGGTAGTGAAAGGCGGTAGGAGTGGTGGTGGTGGAAGATGGTGCCAGTGGTGAAAGGCGATGGCGGCGGTGGTGGTGGAAGGTGGTGAAAGGCAATGGCAGTGGTGGTGGTGGAAGGTGGTGAAAGGCAATGGCAGTGGTGGTGGTGGAAGGTGGTGGCGGTAGCGGTGGTAAAAGGCGACGGTGGTGGTTGCGGCAAACAGTGGCGGAAGCGGTGGTGAAAGGCGGCGGCGGCGGTGGTGGTGGTGGAAAGTGGTGGGCGATGGTGAAGGTCAATGGTGGTGGAAGGCAGTGGTGGTGGTGAAAGGCAGATGATTGTGGTGGAAGGTAATGGTGGTTTTTAGACTTGGAATATGAGGGTGTTTTGGGAAGTCGATTTTTTAAAATAAATTACTTGGGAATGGAATGGCCGTGGAATGGATTTTCATTCCCAGGAATGAATTTTCATTCCAATTGAATGGCCATTCTCACTTTAAGTTGCATACCAAACAAAGAAATGGTTGGAATGGGCATTTCATTCCATTCTATTCCTGCACACCAAATGTAGCATAGTTCTTAAATCCAATTTTCAAACAAGGAAAATGATGATGTGATTTATTTGTTAAAGTGAAATGCTCAAGACCATTGATGGCATAAAGTAAGATCCCGTTTTAGACCGTACTTTTTATTATTAATGACCTTAATTGTTTCACTTTAACAAATAAATTTAACTAATTAACGTGAATATCATGAATCTTTCACATAATAATCAAAATAGTTTCAATAGGCGGCAGAAAGCTACAAGGCAATTCAATTTATATATCATCTCTTTTTATGAGTTAATTATAAACTATTCTTAAGAGCATAGTTCAAGTGGCGTTTCCTCCTCCTTTCATGAAAAAAGTTATGGTTAATTTATATCATTATGGGATATAAATTTGAATTTATTTATTTATTATTTTTTTTTTTTCGAAAGGTAAAATTTGAATATCATTTGCTAAAGGGAAGTGAATGGTATGAAAATTCTCACTTGGTAGGTTCACACCAATTTTTTTACTCAATTATCCAAATATTAAGGGCCTGTTTAGCATGTGATATGCTTTAAGTGTTATGTTTTTAATCAATACCAAAATAACCATTTTGTTATAGAAATGTTTTAAGTGAAATCGGAATCATATTTAGTAACGAAAATTTATTTTAAAAAATTTGAAAATTTGTTTTAATTTTTTTTGCTACAGTACCAAAATAGCATCACCAGTTTGGTGATATGGATTTGAATCAAAAAAATCTTTTATGAATTATTTCAAACTAATATTAATCGTCCCAAATATGATATAGGTTCAAATTTAAAAATTAATATTTAAAAAATAATATCATAATACATTTTAAATAGACTAAAATAAGGTGGAGACTAAAATAAGGTGGAGAGCCAAGGGCCCAAGGTGGCTAAAAAGTGAATATACACTCTCAAAAATTTGTCCGTCAACAAACAAATAAACAGCAAAATAAAACTTACCCATTAAATGCATTGGAACAAAAAATTCACAGTACCATATAAATCAAGTCAGCTTCGCAAGCTAGAGAGTTTGGTTGGGTTGGGACCACTATCCATCTAGTTGTTGTGAGAACCACCACTTCAAGGTATGTGATCCGCGCCAGAGCTCGTCAGCCCCGTGAATGTCAGTTAATCTCTTAAATCATCTCACATGCCTCACTTTATTAATAAATAAAGCTTTCAAGTTTTAGAGTGCAATGCATTTATTGGTTTGTAAATACCAACGCCATTCCCACCTCTTGAGCCCCAAACACGCATTGCATCTACACTCCTCCCTCTCTCTCTCACACACAAACACACACTGCTCTGCACTTCCCTCTCTCTCTCTCACACACATCCTCACTTACTAACTCACTCAGTAGCTCTTTCTTCTACTACAGCAGTAATATATAAACGGTACCCTTTTGAGGTTTGCATTCACCCAACCTAGAGAGAGAAAAAGAGCATCTGGAGGAGAGAGAAAAATGGCGAAGCAGTCCCCGATATTTCCAATGCCAGAACCCCAACACTTCAGTGACTACGGCTTTGACCCTCAATTCGATTATTTCCAGGTCTCATCTTCTATACACTGACACGCACACATACACACACATATATATATATATATATACACGTACGTATACTATATATACAATATATGCATAAATGTGAAGCTCTTGACCCATTTTCTCTGTGTGTTTGTGTGGGTGAAAACAAGGTGCTAGAAGAAGCAAGGAAGCACAAGCGCGAGAAACCAAGATCCATAGACGCTCTACACTTCAAGCTCCAAAAACCCATTTCCAAGGACGACTCCAAGAAGATCAAGAAGACCAAGAAACGATGGTGGCGAAACGCTCTGCTGTTCTTCCGCCGGAAACTGACCCCCAACGACCGACAACCCAGCTCCGATCACCGTGATGGGCTCCGCTGTGGTCGCGCCCTCAGGGGATCAATGTCGGGCCCGTTGTACATCACCGAGAGTCGGGGTGGGTCAGCCACGCCCTACCGGACAACCAGCCAGCCGACGTCGGGGCCGCTAGCCGGAACCCTGACGCCGGCGAGGAAGGGGGAGATGGGTGTACCGTACATCAGCCTCAGGGAGCTTAATATGGAGCAGCAACACAGGATCTCAGCTTCGGCAATGCCAATATACTTGGTCACTTGATTTTTATTTATTTTTAAATTTTTTTGTGTTTTTTTTAGAATTTGCTGAAATGGGCTTGATGTGATTTTTAATTTGTGCTTTAAATCTTTTTAGTATTTAGCTTTTGTTAGTTTCTGGAAAGGTTCTTTGAAAATTGCTCCGACTTGGAGGAAAAAGAAGTTCGATGTGTTGTTCCCCTTCTTTTGTGGTTTATGACCACTTTATTGGTTTCTGAAACTACTGAACTCGTGGTTTGACTCAGACACGTTGTTTTCTTTACTGTTTTCTTTTTGTTTACCCAGGAAAGTGACATGTCGTTTGCCAGTAACTGCAAAGTTACAGTCAATTACATAGACAGCAAAAGGCATGCATGCGACGTCGTTTATGGCCTTGTTTTTGTGGGTATCACTCCATTATTATTGTATGGATTATAATAAGTTATTTACTAGATTGATATAAATATTATGGGGTCCCATTCGCTCATTACCGTTGGCATTTGGTTTGTCTATTTGTAGATTCTGAAATTCATGTGTATTTGTGAAAAATAAAAATAAAAAATTCATGCCTATCTCTGACTATTTCAATTAACCGTTGGTAGGCGGGGTCCACACAAATAGCCGACATTTTTTGTTTATTTGTGTTTAGGTTTTTTTCAAAACTCATGTTTCGTTTGGCTCCACAATTTAAAGATTTTTTTTTTTTTTTTTTTTTTTTTTTTTTTTTTTTTTTTTTTTTTCCTGGTAAATACAATTTGAAGAATCTTCTTTGATCCAATTACTCAAAATTTTGAGCTATTTTCAAACGATTTGTACCAATGGAACAAAATTCATCTTTATTTATTTATTTATTTTTTTTTTGACTTTAATAGCCGACTGGATCAACAATTATTGTGTTTATCTCTCTCTTTTATTTTCATTTTTTTTTTTTTTTGTCTATTCTATCATAAGCCATTTTTCAAATTTAATTTAATTTAATTTTTTAAAATTTGTTAGGAGAAAATGATAATTTTATATTAATTTATTATATTTAAATCCTCAATTAACTTGAGTTCTAGTGTTACAATAAGTAAAAAAATAGCTTGCGTTTTATCATTATTTAAGGTGAGCTATTAGGTAGGGCTAACACTCAATCTATTCATATGCATTTCATTTCCTATTCGGATTTGATGTGCTACAAGTCTCTCATTGTAACATTCTCCTTTATTCAAACTCGCAACGCCTTCGTGGCTGTTAGACTATCCTGCCTACCCGGGTGGCACATCCAGATGCCTTTCCGAGTCGGGTGTTTGGCATAACACCGGATCAAGAACTGGTTTGACATTGATACCAATTGTCGCCGGTGGGTGATTCACAATTTGACCCAAAATCTTAAAATATTAGGTGGGGCTAACACCTAACCCATTTATACCTATTTCACTTCCAATCTAGATCCGATGTATGACAAGTCTCTCCTTAAAACGTCTATCCATAAAGGAAAAACTTAGCCCAACGAACCTCTCTGTAAGAAGGAAAAGACACCTTAATTTATAGATTATAAGTGTGCTAATGAAAAACGTTGAGCTATGTTACACGGTGTAGATCAAAAGTAAGTTAATAGGTAGGGCCTAGGAAGCACGGATATTTTTACAAGAGCGACATACCCATATCGGATACGTGTCGGATATCGATATTCTTCATATACTCATGAATACGTGTTCGATACTTTTTAAACTTATCCATACTTTTGAAATATATATATTTTTAATTTATAATATGTATCTGATACTACTGATAGACTTCGATTGCATATTTGATACTTCTCTTATATTTCATAACAAATTTTAAACAAATTTTGAACATTAAAATGTAACTTTTTCAACAAAAATAACATAGTGTAATTAATGAGAAAAGTTAAAATTTTAATTAGTGATGACTAGGGATGTTTGTTTAATATATTGTGAAACTAACTTCTATGGTATATTAATGATTGCATTTAAACTTATAACATTTTAAAAAATTGTTAAAAAATAATTCTATAATAATATATTTTTTTATTGTTGTATGTGACTTCTTTGTAACATTATTCCTATCTGAATTAGCAATGCCCTCGTTGTGGTCGGGCCACCCTACCTAAGTGAATGGGCTCACTCAGACACCTCCGGACAAGACGCTTGGCTGACACCAGATTAAAGATTAAGTTTGACTATGATACCTGTTGGGATTTATATGCCTTGGCATAGCAAATTCCTGTTTGGATTAAAGTGACATATGTTCCTGACGTTTCTGAAATATTTATGTTTTATACAATTAGTGAATTCAATGTATTATATTTCGATTCATTATAGAATTGATAGTGTCCATTTGATTACAAGAAATATTTATATATATGTATGTGATGGCAATCAATGCATGATATATAAATAGTAATCATAAGTGGTTCATAGTCAGTAATTATGGATGGACTCATAATTAATTAAGATTTGAACTGGATCCGCATTAGGTTGAGATATATTGCGAGAGCCGTCGTATGTAATTGCTCCCTATCACCGTCATGGCATTTGACTTTTAAGCATGAGAAAATTATAGACTATTTTATTAATTAATAATTACTTTGATTTGTTCGGCGAATTTTTCGGGATCCTTAGACTGACACTTTGGGTAGTTATGTAATTAATAGTTAGAGGGTTATATTTTCAATATTTGCATCATTGGTACTTATATTTATTTTGTATTGATTATGGTTGATCACAAAGTAAATTCGAAGGCCTTCGTGTGTTTTTAGACAAAATGATTTATTATATATTTATTTATTTAAATTATTATTTTTGTCAGACAAATGTTTTATTGTGATCGAGCCAAAAATAATCAATGGTACCAAAATAAATATATTAATTAAGTAGTCGGATTGATGGCTTTATTTATCCGATAACTAATTAAAAATAGAGGGGTCAAAGTGCAATATTGACTTAGAGATTATTTATTATTTAATTGGGGTTCAATTAATTTCTTTTAGTGGAGTAGAAATTAATTTATGAATTAATTAAATTGGGTTCATGGATCGGGCCAATTATTAATTCATTGTAGCCAATAAAATAATAGGCCCAATGGATTCTCATTCATAGCCCAACTTGATATTGGAATCATATTAAATTTGAGACATATGAATTAGAGATTGAGAAGGATTTGTTATTTCATTTTCTTTATTTTTATGTTACCTATAAATATATATGATCTATGTATATTTTTGGGGTGATTTTTGGAAAGAAGGAAAAAGGAATAAACTTTCTCTCTCTAGAAAATTAGGGTTAGTGTTATCATCTAATGGAGGCTACCACAAGCCTAATTTTTCAAGGTCATTCATGGAGGCTTATGAGTGATTCCTAAAGGCAAGACGATTACCAAGAAGATGGAGATCCATGGAAAAGGTGTTTAGCAAAAGGGATCTACAATAAGTGAGAACATTCACTTTAGAGGAGAGATCTAAGATTTACTCAAACCTTGATGTAAGTATTCAATCTTTTAATTGAATGATACATTATGTTTTATTTTTGCATAAAACTTGTCTCTATGTAATGAATCAAGATCTATGAATTAAAATCCCTCGAATTTTTTTTAAAACTAGCATGTTTCCCAACAGTGGTATCAGAACATGGTTTGATTCATTACTAGAGATCATATTTTTATCAAAATTCAACATTCATAGATCCAGAATTATATTCATATATATTTTGATTGATGTATGTTGATGTATGATTTAATATGTTGATATATATTGATACATGATGATGTATGTATAATTGTAAATGAATGATGATGTATGTTTGGGCCATGGATGAAGCTTATAGGTTATTTGAATGTAATTTTATCTTTGGATGAATATAATTAAGGCTTTGATTTAGCCGTTTGAAAGTTCAATGATGTAATTTAATTTTTTCCATTGTATTTCAAATTATAAATATTTTTAAAGCCATGTAATCTTCGTCAAAGGATACTATGAAGCTTCAAGAATGTCCAAGAGGGTTAAATTAGGCTTCAGGAATTTTCTGGAATTTTTCCGGAATTTTTCGAAATTTTTCTGGAATTTTTTGGGCTTAAATTTAATTTCTGGAAATTTTTTATAAATTTTTATTATTTTTCGGCGATTTTCCGGCGACCGGAGAGTCGCCGGCGGCAAGGGAAGCGCCGCAGTAAGTGGCAGCTGCTCCAGTGCAACAAGGTCTTCATGCACCCGCAACAGGAGTCGAAGGATCAAAGTCAACAAGGGTGGGATGATCCAATGCTTCGCGGGAGAGTTAGCATACATGGAGCACAAGTGTCTGGTGCGTGGGGACCACGCGCCAGCAAAGACTAGCGCCACATGGGGCGTTGCAGCGCGTGAGTAACACGCGCTGGTCATTCCAGCACCCTTCAGGAGCGTGGCAGCGCGTGAAGGCGCGTGCCACGCGCTGCTAGACTTCCCCAGCGAGTGCCAGCGCGTGGGTACATGCTGCGCACTCTCCGGACGCGTTCTATGCACTGTTTTACCTCTTCAGGCGCATACCAACCTCCTTCAGGTGTTTGTAAGTCGACGAAGGACCCTCGCGCAATACTTAGAGCAATAGAATGTTAAAAGCTGATTCCATTGGTCATTTTTATTTGTTTTATCTGTCATTTATTGATGTATGTAATGCATGGAATAGATAATTGTGTATTAATTATTATTCATGCATTGGATCCATGATATTTAATTAAATGACTTGATTTATATTAATTAAATTATGAAAATTAATTGGATTTGATTACTAATAAATTTGAGGGCACTTATTGGGAAACGAAAATTTATTTTTGTAAATTATTTTTAAAGTGTGCTTCAAATTAAATATTAGTGAATCATTTAAAGTCCAAATATTTTCTAAATTTAATTGGATTAAAATCAAGACGTTTAGCATGCATCATATCATGTATTTGAATAAAATGAAAACCCTAATTATGAATGATTAAAAAAATTGAGTGGGAGCGGGGATTTTTATACATTGCCGTATGGCCTTCGTAATTAACACCATTGTAATTAGATCTTCAAAAATAAGGCCCCACGCATGATTTGAAGAGTCTTAATATTACAAGAATGGTTGTCTCATGAAAGTAAAAATATTAAATGTTCATTGTAATTAAATCTTTAAAAATAAGGCTTCACGCATGATTTAAAGAGTCTAGATTATAATGACAACATATTTAATGTTTTATTTTTCGTTAGAGTTTTAATAACGTTATACACTCAATCTAAAATCAATAGTGTTAGCTTCCCAACGGAGTGGTCTACACTAGGTGATTTTAGAAAGGCTAAATAAAATCGGGAATCATTTCATATGATAGACAAGGCATTGTCTTAAGAGATATAGAAATGATGGGATTTGCCCGC